ATATCTTCCCCACCTGTCCGTATATACTAACTATTAATGTAATCTTCTATCTCTAGTGTTCCCCGGGCCTTATACAGGGTGAACCTTACTATAAAAAAAAATTATTTTACGCTTCCAAAACGAAACTGCTTTCTATCAATCATCTGAGAGACTCCTTTCTGCTAACCTCCAGGTGAGTGACTCGTTGTGCCTTCTCGGGCTAACATTTTCTGCTGACATGAAGTAGAAAGATTATATTGAATTAATTGCTTGGTCTCCTCCTAGAAAAGTTGGTTCACAATGTTGTGCTAGACAATTTTTCTCTCCAGAATCTATTTTACAAATTTATAAGTGTACCATAGTCCGTGCTTTAGTATTGCAGCTAAATCTGATCCGATGCTCCTTCTATACATTTAGAAATTCTTGTTAAAATCCAAAGTTGAATCTCCAAAGTTATTGGTTCTGACCTGACACCTCGCCTTCAGACACTCCCACCGCCGTAATGTAGCTTCCTTGTGCCTGTTCTATAAATACTTTCATGGTAATTGTTCTAAACTTTCCTCTATAGAACCTACAAGCAAGGTTTCATCAGTTTGCAATTGAAATGGCTAGATATAACCGTAAGTTCTATGCTAACAGTTTTTTTTCTATCGCACTTCTCGCTTGTGGCACTCTCTTCCGGCTTCTAGTTTCCCAGTAACCTTTGATCTTCAAAAATGAAAATGTAATATCAGTCGTTATCTTCTTAATTCTTGTTCTTTTATTGTTCTCTCTACTTAATAGTATTTTCCTTTTTTTCTTATACTCTCTAAAAAAAACTCTTGCATCTTAGCGGCTTTATTATCTTTCTTGCGATGAAATAATTTTTAAAAAGTCAAGTTTTTTGGTGATAAAAAAATTAACGCACCTCGTACTAGACCATAGGCTTTTGTCTAAAAATATAAAAGAATTTATTCACCTCACGTTTTCCACACTAAAATGAGGCTTTTGGTGTTTAAAAATTTACCCCACCTCATCTGTTTATATTAAATCAAGAGTTTTATTGTTAAACAATTTTACTCGCCTGATAATTTCATACTAAATCATAGGTTTTAGTTTTCAAATAAGGGTCTGGGTGTTTAAATCTTTTCTCGCTCATATTTTTAAACTAAAGAGAAAATGAACTTGAATTCAGCTTAAGCAGATATCTTCTCTTAGCGAAAAAATTGACCAGGTTTCACTTCCGTTTCCATGGATATAACTTCTTCGCCTTCCAGCGAATACCAAATGAAACCGAGACAAAGGCATTATGTTTTAACACTAAAACCATTGATTTACTTTAAGATAGCTACATTTAAAGAATTTTAACTTTTATAAGTCTTTCAGATCGATCAAGTTCCTGAACATTTTATAAAATTGATGATTTTAATCCCCTGCCCGTCTTTTCGAAATTCAAAGATAAAAGAATCATTCCATCTCTTTAATTTCTTTTATCGATGTCCTTCTAAAGCGGTACATAAGCAGATTTCACGTTTTCGGGGAAGGTAATTTGTTATTGTCATATATTGTCGTTGTCCTATATTAGTTGGCTTTGTCATATATTATTGTTGTCCTATATCACTTGACAGTGTCAGATACTGTCGTTGTCTTTGTATCAGTTGATATTGTCATATATATATATATATATATATATATATATATATATATATATATATATATATATATATATTATTGCTTTCCTGTGTCATTTGTTATTGTCATATATTGTCATTGTCCTATATCAGTTGGTACTGTCATATATTGTCGTTGTCCTATATTAGTTGTATTTTCATATATTATCGTTTTCTTTCAGTTGACATTCTCACATATTATCACTTTCCTGTATCAGTTTCATTGGCTTAGATTATCGTTGTCCTATAAAACTTCTCATTGTCATATATTATCATTGTCCTAAAATCATTTATCATTGTCATATATTATTGTCGTTCTATATCAGTTGTATTGTCATATGTTATCGTTACTCTGTATAATTTGTCTTTGCCATATATTATCGTTGTCCTATATAATTTTCTTCGTCATATATTATTGTCGTCCTATATCAGTTGGCATTGTCATATATTATCGTTGTCCTATATAATTTGTCAGTCATATATTTTCGTTCTCCGATATCATTTGTCATTGTCACATATTATTGTTGTCCAATATTATTTGTCATTGTCATAAATTGTCATTATCTCCTATTCATTTTATCGTCATAGATTACCTTACAAAAACAGAAAAAAGCCAAAATAAGTAAATCTCGTTTATCCGTTCACTACACATCGACTATTTTCTACGTATTCATTTTGCCACGTTTGATGTGATTTCTTCAGACAGAACGACTAAAAATATCAACGGTAATAGTCGCCAAACAAAAGGGGGACAAGTAATTAGAACTGGCATATCAACTAGAAAATTTGACTTTGAAATCAGAGCTTCATTTTCAATTACGTCGATGTAGAATATATCGAATATCTTGTTCCATTAAACAAGAATTCTAATTATAATAAAATATGCAATGTTATACTTCCCTTGCACCAAGATACTGACGTTCCACACTACTTCAAACAAAAGGCAAGGAAGGAAACAATCCCCTTCAGTGCCCGAGAGAACAATAACAACTACTGGACTTTAGAATCCTATTTTCCTGAAAATTTATTTTAAGAAAAAGATTTTATAAATTTCAGTCGGTTCGTTTTGTTTTACGGTATATCAACATCAATGGGTTATTTAATACCGACAAGATGTTTATTGCTTGTAATATTTCCAAAAATGTATTGCTGGTAATACTTTTTTCTTCAAAAATGCATTGCTGGTAATATTTTTTCCCTCAAAAATGTATTGCTGGTAATATTTTTTTCATTCAAAAAAGTATTGTTGGTAATAATATTTTACAAAAAACCTTCGGTAATAAAACCTGTTTTTACACTTTCCTAGTTTTTGAGCCCAGTTTGGGGGTTAACTATTTGCCCATAACTGGGATCCTAACATGCGCTACCACCCAGAGACAGGGTGGACCTGGGAATACCAGCAGTTAAGAGGTGCTTCCACGCTCCTCAAAAACTCCTGATCATAGGCCTTGCTGTCGGATGTAGTTTATCGTTTTACCCAGGACGCTATAAATTTCAACCGAGTGTAGTACTGGCTGTTCGGTCAATGAATGACGAAAGTTTCCTTATAAGAAAACTGCTTATATTACCATTACCAATTATTCAATTCAATGGTAACAATTATATACGTTTAATATTAGCGATACAGAGATACAAAAATAAACATGAAAGTGTTGTATTTTCTGTTTGAATTTCTGTGATATGGAGTTATCATTATTCACACTACTTATATTTAAACTATTGCCCTCATCTTTGTTGCTTTTATCACAACGTTTCAGTCGTTGTGCCCTCAAGACTTCATCAGGTATATATTGATCTCGGTAACTCACAGGGCAGTCAGGACTGAACCTGTTATTTAATCTTAGGGGATAGTCTAAACGTAAATAGTATAAATAGAAGTACTGTGTTCGAAATGAGCACAAGCTTATAGTTTTAAATAAATTATATTTTTATGAAGAAGGACATAAAATCTTCAGTATTTAATAATGGTGAATTCTTACAAACATTTGTGCTGAAAGTTTTAAAATTAATATAAAAAAATAGACATGATGAAAGTGGTTGTGGAAGTGGGTAAGAAAAGATGAGGTTAAAGTTCGTCTAATCTGTCAAATAACATTTCGTACACTTTTATTTGTTATTAGGGTCTCCCAAAGGATTTGTCGAGATTCATTTCTTACGTTTTATTGGTTGGCAAAGAATTATTATTTATTTAAACTGTTTTCTTTCATCTGATTGGCTGTATATTTTGTTTGATTTAGCCACGCCTTCTTTTCTGTTAAAGTAGCGTTTTTCGTTAAAATTGCTTCGGTGGGTTTGATTGGTTTAAAAAAATGTATTCCTTGTCATTTTGATTAATTTTGCAGCACGTTTTCTCTATCATTTCCTTTCTTTTTCTTTTTTTTAGTGTTTTTTTCTTTTCTATTACACGCAATCACATTTACCAATTCTTAAGAGAAGCTGAGCGATTCTAATCATTTGTGTTTTAGAATTAGAAGTATGCACTTCTATTTTATTCTTTTCATTTATTGTAAGTGGCAAAACTGAATGATGTCTTAAGCTTGATTTGGTTGCACAGGTTTCTCTTGAAAGAAGAAATATGAATAAAAATTTGTTTTATATTTATTTGACAAAGTCTTCTTTTCAGTATAAGAAAGTATTAGAATCAAACTTATGACACTGAAAATACATATAACCCAGTACTTAACTGCTACTAATGATAAAATGGAGGGCCTCAACTATAACGGTAATTCCACTACCGAATAAACAAAGCAGATAGAACGTCTAGTGGGTCTTGTTATTGGGTGACCGTTGGTTTTATCTTATGATGTTTGGATTTATCTGAACTCCTGGATTATCGATTTATTCAAATCCCATGCACCAAAAAATGGCTCCCACATCTATTCAAGCCTAACACTTGGTATTTTATTTTTGTGGCAATAATTTGCAGATCTTATAAGCATTAGTAACAGTTTTGACTTGTAGCGACTTATATACGAACGACTGGAAATGCTGTGAACGGTTGCTACAGATAAAACTTATTATCTTGCCTGTGCAGAATCATCCAGTTCAATTAACGAAGGAGGAAAACTCTTTTACATATCGTACCAGCTAATTTTATTGATTGATTGATAGATTTCTTTTTTACGGTTTACCAACCCTTTGCAGGTTATTTAAAGCCGAAAAATATTTTTAGATTGTAAAAATGTTTTTTTTAGATAATAATGACTTACTAAAACACGTTTTACTAATTAATCCATAGCTGGGGGACAAGAGGTGGATTTATACCTTTCACAAAGGTATTTGCGCATAAGTGAATGTAAGTGACCCAACTGGAATTCGGTTCTCCAATTAAGAATTCCGTGCCATTATTCGTTACACCACCCACAATCCAAGCTTACAGCACCTACTACTCCCAAGCGGGCACCCATCTAGGTACTGAACAGGCTCGACGTTGCTTAATTTCGGTGATCGTAGGGGAACCAGTGTGGTGTGGGCGTAAGTCTAATTTTATAGACACCAGGCATTAGTTAAGCTTACCGTCATATCAAGTTGAAATACCGGTTCTCTTACGACCAAACTTGAATGAGCAGGTGGTGTAATGAATAACGGCTTGGAATTGAAAGTCAGAGAGCTGGGTTCCAATTTCAGTTGGATTCATTATATTCACTGGCGCAAAATACTCAGCTATGTATCAGTAAATCATTATTATCTCTAAAAAGATTCTTACCACGTAGAAATATTTTCTGGTTTTAAATAATCCAAAAAAGGTTGATAAACCGTAAAAAAAAAACAAATCAATAATATAGGCATTAGTTAGACAATGGTATGATCAAACCTTAACCACCAATCAAATTTTCCATTCTTCTAAACTAATTAAAAAACTAGATTTGTGCGTCGGCCCAAGAAACAAAAATATAAGCAACAGTTACATCTCTTGATTGGTCATAGTAACGCAACTGTGTGTTGGCAAAAGAACACTAAGACACATGATAAAAATTAGGTGGAAGCGTATAATATTGCATGTCTGTAGATCGACCTATATTTATCTACGAGCGTTTTGCCACGTAAGCTAGGTTAATACTCGCTGATCTAATTTCCCTTTGTGGTTTCTGAGATTTTAATTGGTATCTGTCTTTATTTCTTTTTGAGTCTCATTAGCTAAGACTAATTTATTTGCAAGCCCCTCAAAAAAATAATTGCATAAACACAAGAGAATTCTACATAGATAACTATTGGGAATAAAAATAATTAAAAATTCTGATAAGAAATAATACATTATTTTAATTTTATTCCCTGATTGATTCGTTTTCTACGGTTTATCAACCCTTTGCAGGTTATTTAAAGCCAGAAAATATTTTTAGATTGTAAGCATTTTTTTAGTCTAGTGGGTCTCGTTATAGGGTGACCGTTGGATTTATATTATTATGTTCGGATTCGTCGATTTAAAAGGAATTTACTTAAATCCCATTCACCCCTCACACCTATTTCAAGCTTAACACTTGGTATTTTATTTTTGTGGAAATAATTTTCAAATCTTATAAGCGTTATTAACAGAAAAAACATATCTGGTTTGACTTGTAGCGACTTATATACGAACGACTGGAAATGCTATGAATGGTTGCTATTGATAAAACTTATCATTTTGCCTGTGCAGAATCATCCATTTCAATTATCGAAGAAGAAAGATATCGTACCAGTTAATTTTATCGAAAGATTCATTTTCTACGGCTTACCAACCCTTTGAAGGTTATTTAAAACCAGAAAATATTTTTAGATTGTATGAATTTTTTTTAGATAATAATTAATTAGTTTTACTAATTAACCCCTAGCTTTGGGGAGAAGAGGTGGATTCATACCTAATCAGAATTTGATAAACAAACAAGAAATTATATTAAGGATATAAAGAGAGGGATCAGTTCTATATTCCAATCAATATATAAATTGACCACTCACTGTGTGGTCACGATAGTTTCTGTAGGTTTATATTCCAGAGAATGTAAATAAATCTAAATATCTGTGGAGCTAATCAGTATTTCATTGAATGAGTGATTTGTTTTCTACGGGTTATCAAACCTTTTCAGGTTATTTAAAGCCAGGAAATATTTTTAGTTTGTAAGATATTTTTGGAGATAATAATTATGTACTAATACAAGTCTTACTAATTAATCCATAGCTGGGGGAGAAGAAGTGGTTTCATGCTTTTCCCAAACGTAAGCGAATATAACGAAACCGTCTGGAATTGGAAACTCGGCTCGCCGGGTCGTTATGCATTACACCACCGGCACATCCAAGTTTACAGCACCTGTTCTTGCCGGCCCATCTAGGTACTAATCAAGGTCGACGTTACTTAACTTTGGTGATCGTACGAGACCGGTGTTTCAACGTGATATCGCTGTAAGCCTATTTAATTTTTTTAATTTTTTTTTCACTTTATTATATTATATTATTTAACGTGTAGTTCGTCTGTACGCCTCGTGTTGCTGGAAATGAACCGATCCGGCCAATATATATACCCCCATTTTTTTTTTACTCTTTTTTTTTTTTTGTTAAAAAAAAATAGGATATTAGAGAAAGAATTTTTTCTTCTTACGAATTATACAGTTGAAGAAAGTTGTAGAACAGACCGGCTCAAACATTGTGGTAATTATTAGGCTAAGCCAAAAATAATTTCCGTTTTTGTTTTTCAACTTTAATCGTCAGAAAAATAGACCACAATTACGTTTAAATTATATATTCACCGTCGTTTGCAATGACTTGTTGCCACTTATCAGGCAGGTTTTGAGTAAAAAAAGGTTTTGATGAGAAAAAATTCATGAGCAAACACTTAAATCTTATTGAATGTTTTACCCCATCACAGCAATCGAAAAGAAGATAATAATAGGTTGGCACTAAGTCAGGTGAATAGGGGGGGTGAGGGAAAGTGACCAACCGAGTTTCAAAATTGTTTTTTTTTTTTTGTTGTTCTTGCTGTATGCGTCCTTGTGCTATCATGATGGTGAACAGCATTTTTCCAATTGATGAGTTCTGGTCGCTTTAGAATCAAACTTTTATGAACACGTTACAGCCGTTGGACATGTAAATATGTATTTAGCGTTTTAATGCATTTTAAGAACTCCATATGAATAAACATTCAACGAGCATTACATACAACATTACCTTTTGTTCTATGGAACTCGGGTTTTTGGGGGTCGGTGGTGGAGATTTATTCTTGTCAATCCACTGAATTTTGCGTTGATCATGACTGCATGTAATCCATGCTTCCCATATGAGCAACGACAAAGTTTTAGAGAAAAGGAAAACAAAACGGACATTTATACGTAACATGAGAAAGAGACAGTTGAAATTTATGGTATATCATGAGGAAAGAGCGCTTAGAAAATTTGACACTCTCAGTAAGGCTTTTGTAAACGAATGGCAGAAGCTGGGTTGAGGAGATATAAGAAGAAAAAAAAGAGAAATTTTATTAAGAGCTAAAAAAGACAAGAAATTGTGAGGATCCATGATCGGGACACTGTACATAGATGAAGAAGATAGTCTGGACAAATATATGAAATGGTAGTAATCATTCATCAAATCGCATGGATATCTGTGTTAAGTATGAATGGATCAAAGTAAGATCAGTTCTTTTTATTATTATGAGGGAGAACAACGTTTTCCCAGTAATGAGCGTAGGACACTTTTCGACCAAAATTCTATAGATACTTTGCAGCTGCTGGAAATATAAATTTGCATTTAGCGTTTCATTTCGCTTTAAGAACTATAAATGATACCCCAAAAATACCACCACACAGATAACATTTCCTTTCTGTCATGGAGCTCTTCTTAGGGGGTCAGTTGTGAAAATTTATCCTTCTCAGTCCAATGCCTTTTGAGTTAAACATTGTCGTATGCAACCCACTTTTCATCACCTGTTAGAATATATTTAAGGAACGGTTAGTTAGCAACTGTCATTACAAAAAACGAAAATTACTTATGAATCAACTTAATACATCAACAATACAAAGGGTTAGTTTTCCCAAAAATGCTTGGAAAGAAAAAAAATTAACTTGTCTGACGTAAATGAGTTAAGCTTTTAACGATAGTAGATTAAAAGGGCGTATAATTATCATGGAAACAAAGATTTATAGGAAACTTTCGTCTTCCAAATCTTCTTTGGCTTCGATAATCCTCTTACCGAATTTCTTTTTTTAATATTTTTCATTTGTTTTTTTGTTTTTTTGTTTTTTTTTGCTTTTCAGAATTTTTAACAGAAAGCTGTCTTGGAGTCTTTAATCTGAAATTCTTATCAGAATCCTTATGCTTTCACTTTTTAACCTTAAGTTCCATTCTCAATATTTGTTTGCTTTCTCTTTGCAAACGAAAAGATCTAATTAGAAGTCGTTCAGCTTCTGATTATCCAAAAGAGAAATACTAGTAATGATATTGTCGAGTGGTTTGAATGTCCGCTTTTCCGACCACCTGATCCGGGTTCGAATCTCACTGTTTCTACCAGAAAGGTGACTTCTTGATGTTATCGGTCTGGAGGGAGGCGATCCCAGCATGCGACATCTTTGGAAAGTGCCTGAACTACCAAATTTCACTCACAAGCCTTGTGAGTGAAATTGGGTAGCTGTCGGTGGTTGTATTAGCATGAAGTTACAAGTCATCGTGACAGAGAATTTGAGCGTGCTGGCCTTGTTCAGGCTGTTGATCACGCTCTCTCCCAGAAAATGTAACTACGGCCCACTCAGTATAAGTCAAAGGTGGGCTCTGTGGCTGTTGAACAAACAAACACAAATGTGCTTGAGCATGCGTCTGCAACAGGAATTGGCTAAACGCCCTAGCAAACAGGTATCCTTAAATACGAGCAGCCAGATATAAGAGTAGTAATAATAGTAGCCGTAGATGTAATAATGTCACGTTGTTCGAATTCCATTCATGAAAAATTACCATGATTAATAAAGTTTGATTATTTTTCTTTCATTTTAATTCTGACGTCCATTTAGGCTGTTTGAATTTCTTATACTAGCCGAATACCCGTTCTACGGACAAAGAAGTGTAAGTTGTAATAAGCGTTCTCTTTAACTCTATAACATTTCTTTATAAACAACATTTTCACCAAGACATCTGTTTTCAACGGTTCTTTTCGTTGTTATGCTAAATCAACAGAATTTCCCTCTTTTGACATAGCTACATAATAAAGCTGACCCTGAGAGAAACATTAGAATAGTTTCCTGATCTTCTTCTTATTAATAATAAACCGCATTTATCATCCTCAGTCTGATGTTCATCGTCTTTATGTGTCCAGATCCGATGGAGGCAGAGGATTAGTTCAACTTAAACTGTCTTATAAAGCCACAACAATCGGTCTTCAAAAATACTTGAAAACTACAAAAGACTGGATGATGACCTGTGTCAAAGTACTTGAAAAGAAATCAAAAACTTTATTCAGTAATAAAACAAGCCAACAAACTCAAAAAGGAATTTCAAATTGATGAAGTGCTAGTA